TTATACCTCTTGCATGCTACCAGATCTGCAAGGTAGCATCCCACCAAGCAGTCATAATTGCGGCTTGTGCATTTATAAAGAATAATAATAATGGTGTTTATTCCCCACTTGTGAATGGCGCGCCGCCTGGCATGATCATACGTTTGCAGTTAGAATAAAGCATGACTGAGGGATTTGCTGGTAGATATGTTATCTGGTTAGGGGAAAGCCATGCCAATAAAACAGCTCAGTGAGCTCGAACGAGCAAACGAGAAACAGCTGCTCAAAAGGCAGGTTCCGGGGGCAAATGAGGCGGCAGCTATTACTGGAAAAATGGAGACAGGACGGAGATGGCGAAAGCGTTTGAGCCACGGTTAAACGATGACGGAGCGAGAGCTATCGAGCCAAACTTTAGCGTACCGCAATTTCGTGTGCGTGTGCTGATTGGGTTGCGAAGCGATAATCGTTCTTAGGTTTGATAACCTCCGACTTTTGTTTGTTTTATGCTGGTTAGAGTAAGGCAGGATGAGGCGCCACACGCTAAACGGGACAACAGAGTAGTTCAGGCCAGGGAACTAGCTGAGAGGAACATGGTTTAAGTGGTTATGAGCAAGTTAAAGAGGTGGCAAGGTATAGTAAGGGGGTGGGTTTTTTATTATTGTTCTAATTATATTTTTGTCCACTAACCATAACTTCGTCAAACTCGAAGGTTGTCTGGACCGCGTTCACAAAGGAGATAGGAGGACGCTTGAGTATTAAGAAGGGCTGCTGCGGCCTCGCACGTAAGGAAGTTGTCTACAGACTGTGAACATCTATGCTGATATGTTATTTCGAAACCGACTGGGAAGACTGTTCCGGATGCGAGTGTAGTCAACCAGGAAAAAAACCAGGAAAGAACCAAATTAGTTTGCAGATGAGTGTATATTCGCTAATTTCGTGCAATTTGGTTTCAAGTAGAACATAAGGTTGACGGAAACCCGGGGACTGCACCTAACTGATGAGCCACAAGAAGGGCGAAACCGGTCGTGGGCTGTCGATGGATTTTCAGCAACCTTATGGGTAGTACATTATAACTATACAGGAGAAAGTAGTTTCGTAGATTTGTGCGCGCTTGAGGACACACAAAAATGCTGCTAGATTCACGGAATGTATGGCATGCGTACGACTTTACGGTTGGCTTGGCATCTGCTATGAATACAAGGTCAGGTTTGGTAGATTTTTTTGATTCTAGCCCATCCATATGTCTTTAACCAGTTTTTTATACTGGATAACTGTTTTTCACGGTGTCAAATAGGCTTCCTTTCTTCAGTAGTCCTAATCAGTGCTAGCCTCAGTTTGTAGAGCGCGCTTAGTCCTCATCTACATAGTCGTTCCGTCCAACGCTCCGCTACTGTTCCACGCTTCCACAGTCCCATCTGAGCTGCCAGACCACATAGGTATCTGAGACTGACTGTGACCCTCTTAATACAATCCATAGTTCTCCCACTACCCCAGGACTCTCAACTGTATTCTACCAAATCAGCCATTCCTCAACCTGCTCCGAAGTGACATTATGACACCACTCCCTCCTCCCTCAAAGCCGTCGCTAGACCTCGAATCCCCATCAGCTATCCTCCCAGTATGCTCAAAAAAAGCGGCTTAGATCCAGAAGATCCAGCTCCCAACCCCCTCACCTCTCGGAGCCGACAAAGACAGTATCTCAAGCAACCTCAGATTGTTCAGTTGTTCTAACTGACATATCCTTGCCTCCTGAACCTGGCAACACCCTTTTACCGTTGCCAGTAGGTTCTGAAGTCCTGAATGACCTAGAAAATCTCAAAACACGTGTGCGCCAAGTGGAGAACGAAATGTCCTCCCTCCAAACCATACAAACGATTGCATTCTTTCTGAATCCTGGCGCCACATGTAATCAAACAAACTTAGAAAAAGCGTCACCTCTCATTGCCACGATTGCTGCTGACATTTCAGTAGGTTCTGAAGTCCTGAATGACCTAGAAAATCTCAAACCACGTGTGCGCCAAGTGGAGAACGAAATGTCCTCCCTCCAAACCATACAAACGATTGCATTCTTTCTGAATCCTGGCGCCACATGTAATCAAACAAACTTAGAAAAAGCGTCACTTCTCATTGCCACGATTGCTACTGACATTTGTCAACGCATCGAATGCCGGCGTCAAGTCTTAATATTCAATGCATCTCATCGAATCCCACTTGAGCATGCCAAAACTGAATGTGTGCACGCAGGACACCATATGCAAAGCTCGGCAGCTCCTAACGTCGAAACCATCCATGTGCTGCATGAGAACAATGCAATTCCGGGATGAAAAAGATGCCACGCGTCTGCTAACAGCCCAGATTCTTCTCTCATCTACCAAAAAATTCCATACCTTAAAACTTAAAGCTGCTCGTTCAAGAATGCACAGACAGCTTACCAAAAAGTCACCTGAACCGGTTGCCCCGTCACCCACCAGTACTTGCGCTGACGAGTGCCACAATGCCACACAAAGCTGTCTGTTGGACCAAGGTCCTAGGCCCACGTTCATGACCATCGGCCCTCCACTCCTGTCCCCGGGCATCCACAAAGGTTATCTCTGACCTCCACCACGCCAACGAGATCGACTGCTGATTTAAGAGATACGGTAACTAATCAG